GGATTTTGATAACCAAGTGCTTGGTTCGAGCCACTGTTCAACCGATGATCGAGTATAATCGATCATCGTGACATCACTAGGGCTCAATATTTAATATTGGGTTAAAGCAGAATAATGACCATCTCAAACATGATTTCCACAGTCCTAGAGCAGTAGAGAGGTGAACACGTTTGTATACAAGAGTGGTTTCTTTGTCGAATCTGGATACCCTATACTTGTGAATAGCTAATTACTATTACCATTGATATATTTGAAGAGTATTCGTTACACCGAACACGGAGTAACTGCCAACATCAGTAAACACTGGTAAAGGTGAAATTAAAGGGAGAGTTTACTCTAGGTTCTAGGGTTATTTTCAGCTAATTTAGGTTATAATTACGCTACAAAAAAAGTTTCATGGTTCAATCACCATTTGAAATATTATTAAAAAATGTTTTAAAACTAACGACTACAGTTTGATTACAACGACGGTGGCGCCACTCAAAGCGCACGATCAGATAAGTTGCGCAAAACCACTTTCCATCCAAGGGCTACAGACCGAGTGTGTTTCTTATTTATTCATTTAAAAGCAAAAGGATTGTAATATCTTATAAACGACATATAGTTTCAGTTATAATATGGATAAATTTGCCCTAAAATTAATATCGTTTGGTTAAAAAACTTAAATAGCATTTAGGTATAAATATAATTGCACTTTTGTGATTAGCCCTCGCTCTGTAACATGCAAAATAAGTTGTCATCAACTTTTTCGGGGTGGCAGCACGGTCGCGGGTGTCATGGCGTCGTTCAAATTTCGTAGCGTTGATGTGTAAAGAATTAGAACAATTAAATTGGGTATCTGGTAACAAATACGTGTGGGTATAGACGATTTGTTATACAGTAAGTACAGTTGTATGCAGTAAAATCCTAGAGGCTACTGTCCCTTTAAATGCGGCACTTGTTCTTATTTGTTGCATTGTTTTGAGCCAGGAGTAAGTTAACACAGGTGACTTGAATCTTCCAACGAAGTTTAGGATAATATACTTGCCTTTGTATGTCTGTTTTATAATTCTGAGAACATTGAGGCACGTTTGTGATGGTCATTTGGTTCTGTTTTGAATGTTTCACAGCATTATGACCTTACAATACATGATCCCAAACAACCCTTGTTGATCTCAAATGCCAGTAAAAGAGATAGAAAAGCGGGAAGGACCGAGCCCTACAAACTGATACCGGAGCTTTGCACTATGACAGGTATATGTAATTTATGTGAATTTAATAATCATAGAGTGGGATCGAAATCAGTGGTACAAAGGTGTATGTTTTAATGATGATAACAGAAGAACTAGTGTTCATTGTGTTGACCACTTTATAGGGTGTCTGAATGTGAGTGTGGTTATCTTGAATGTTTAGTCATGAGACTCAATCAAGGGAAACCCCAAATGTGTGCGTTATATTCAGGTGTCTATTATAGACAAGTGTCTGTTGCAATGTGGTAGTTTCACTTTTGGATTGTTTATAGACGAGTATTTGTTTTATAGAACCGTGTGTCAACGCAGGTCTATCTGTAATTTTATTTTCAATGTGTTATGAATTATTGATTGATCGATGATGATGATGATGATGATTGATTGATTGTTGTGTCTGATTTATTGTCAGGGCTGAGCGAGGATGCCAGGAGTAACTTTCAGCTGATGAGAGATGTGGCTGAGACAACGAGGGTAAAGCCCGAAGAGCGAGCTCACAGGCTGGAAGCTTTTCTCACACAAATCAACAGGTCAGTATGTTGCACGGTTCGTACTCGATGGTTAATTTTGGTGACAAGTTGTTATCAGGTTTCTCATTAAGCAGTGGCTACTTCTAATATTTCTACAATTATGTTCTTCGTCACCCCAAGGTCCCTAGACCACCAACTTTCTAGGTCATCGATTTCTTTGTCTTGACTGTAACGTCGTTTTTTTCCACCTGTGCATGCTCGTGATGTTCTCGGAGCAGGAACCCAGAAGTGACCACTATGATGCAGCAGTGGGGGCTGAGTTTTAGCGAAAAGTTACAGCCCATCACATCCCGTGTACTGGTCGCAGAGACTGTGCAGATGGTAAGTGACAGATGAGTGACAACAACTGGGTATCTCCATTTTTAGCTTTCTTTTTTATTTCTGGGGAAGAAATGGAAGACTCCAGTAATATTGTGGGTATTGTGATATAAAGTAGCTTTTGCATTTGCACGTTTTTGGTCCGAAACTGATGGATATTGTAACGTTGGAATGGGCGTTGACGTCGAAATGATGTAGAAACACGCTCCGATGGCACCACACCATTCCGCCGCCCGCACCGCGCCGCGGCCATGCCGTAGCCACCTTCATCACACAATCACACAAACAGACAAAGAACGCCGCACACGCGCATACGCGTATGTGCTCAGCTCGCTGCCCAGAACCCCCATTCCCCCTCTATCTCTGTTCTATCTATTACCCCCCAAAACTCCTACAACCATACTGCCCGCACATGTACCCGTTCTC